GGGGGGGGGGGGGTCTTGCTTTGGAGGCTTTGCTTTGCCTCTCCAGGCGGGGCAAGAGTCGATTGAGTCTGCTGATTGAAAGAGGAAGCTGGCTCAGAGGCTTACCGTCGCGAATCCCTTTCTGGACAAAGCGCATAAGTCGTAGGAACCGACCTCTATGTCCGTGAAACTATATGTAAGCGTCGCGACACGGACTACTTGCGTTACAGGTCGCTCACATAACAAATCAAGTTCCTAGGCTTAGGATTTAGAGTTTGGCCAAACCTCATGCGCAGAACATTTTGGGCCTGCCAGACATTCTCTGTACGCTGTACATGTGCTCGACATCCTGCGCATCACTGCAGCAGTGCCCCGAACACCAGACCATCAAGGAGAATCTCTCGTCAATCGCTTGGCATCCTGGTAGATGGCCTCAAGGCATGGGGAACCTACGACGCACTGATGATCACCCGCGTTGTGAATGTACATCGTCGTGCACTCAACCTCCCAGCCGTCAGGCGTTGTTATCTTCGCCAGGATCTCCTCCATCTCCGTGCCTTGCCTGCTGAGACGTGGCAGTGGACTTGGGCCTGGAGTACGCAGAAAGCCTCCTATTTCCTCCCAGCGAGTAGTGACTTTGAAAGAAACATGCCTGCGCACGGGGTATTCGCGTAAGTCTAGCAAGGCGACCACATAATCTAAATCGGTGCTCAAATAACCCACGCTGACTCTACAACCACCATCACCTCCCGGCAGATCAAAGGTGCCACTCAAATGGAAAATTGCCAGAGGAACTTTCGGCTTCGGACGATGAAAGGCAAATTGAATCCAGTCGCTTTCCGGGCATGTCTCAGAGCTCTTGGAAACCTCCCAGCCGCCAAGGCCCAGGGCTGTGAGAGCGGGCGACTCCTCCCCCACTACCTTCAAAGCACCTGCAAAGAGTTCCGGGAGGTTTTCGGACATGGTTGGGGGAACCTCAAGTATGCGTTTGGTCAACTCGAAGCTTTCGTTGCCATTCATGGCCGCGAAGGTCTCTGACAAGCTCCGCACGATGACCTGAGGCCTAGGCTCATGGTCCTGCTCAGCCTTCTCTTCTCGTGGCTCCGACGTTGGCATACTTGTGTAAATCTCAATTGTGGGGCCAAACTGCCAGTACTTAATCTTGCAACTCTCCATGTCGCCCTTGGCCCAAAGGAAGCAGTTGCAGAGGTCCTCGTCCCGTCTAAGCAGCTCCTCCAACGTGAGCGTCTTCAGTTGCTCCAGGATCCAAAAGCCTTCACCTGCTTCGAGGCATTGGGGCCAGAACCTCTTCAGACTTCTGCAGCAGCGTAAAGCATTCAAGGCTGCGGGGCCACTGAGCAGCTGGACAATGCGCGGCAACCACACGGAAGAAAAACTCTCCATTCTCGGCCTGGGAACCGGAGGCCCTGTGGAGCGAATAAGCCTTGAACCAAAGTGGCGGCTCCGGGAGGTTTAGGGATCCTGAAGACGACGAAGGGCCCGGTAGCGTGGCTGGGGCATAGCCGCAAAGCTGTAAAGGAACCATCAGCCCGTATTTGGAACGAGTCTCTGAGATGTATCTTCGGCTCAGGATTACAAGAACCAAACCATACACTTCTATGTAAATCTTTAACCAAATCCACGGCTGCAAAGCCCTCGATTCTCCTGCTTTGGGCGACCCTCGAAGTGACATCTTCGCAACTGCCACTATCATCAATCAGTACCGCTAAGCTCACTGCCAGCACTATTGCCCCATGGCTGCCAGTATAACTCTGCATGTGTGTATTTGTATCTGCATCATATATAGATAGATAGATAGATAGATAGATAGATAGATAGATAGATAGATAGATATATACACCCACATACCTACATACATGTGTGTGCGCATAAATGTGTGTGTGTGTGCATGGATGTGTATTATCTGTGAATATACATACGTACATACATACATACATACATACATACATACATACATACATACACACATACACACATACACACATACACCCATACACACATACATACATACATACATACATACATACGTACGTACGTACATACATACATACATACATACATACATACATACATACATAAGCGCATGTAAACATCCAAACATATGCACGTATGTATATGTATGTGTATATATATATATATACATGTGCATACACACACACACATTTATGTATATATATATATATATGCACATACACATAAGCATGCATATATACGGCTGCTATAACCACTCTTGTTTAAAAGGATGTCCTAAGGACCCCGGCACGCTCGCCAGGGCTTGCTCCTGGAGGAGGCCGCTGAGTTCCTCCTGCGCCTGGAAAATGCTCATGTTTGGGGTTTTCGACACGCACACTCGGACAAGCCTGGCAAGGTCTGTTTGGGTTTAGGGTTTAGGGTTTAGGGGGTTTAGGGTTTAGGGTTGAGCCGGGGCATTCGCGCTTGACGTTTGAGGGGGGTCTTAAGTGCTCTCATGCGTAGGGCTGTGGGGTTTGGCGAGTTCACGACTTTCGGGCTTTCGGTTTTTGAGCTTTTGGACCTTGGAGCTTCCAGGGCTTTAAGGGTTTTCGGATTTGGGTTTAGGGTTTATGGTTCAGGATTTTGGGGATGGCGGCTTTTGTGGCTTTGTGGGCCCTGGGCGAGGCAGCATTTAGGGTATACCGTATACCCGCAAAGCCATACACACTATATAAGCCCTGATAAACCTTGAACCCTAAACCCTAAACCAAAAGCGTATCTTCCTTAACAAGGGCAGCAACCGCAGAGGCGCCAGGGGGGCCTCCTGGAATCGCGTCCGATCGGCTGCATCGACCTTGGGATCTGTTTATAAGAGCCCTTGTTAAAAAAGGACATAATTAGGAAGCTACAATGAGAGATCTGTTGAAAAGAGCCCGTCTGAGTGATAAATGTGATTACTATAGGGGCCTTAATCGTTAGAAGAGGGTTTCGGGTGACATTCAAGAAAGCTATCACAAGGAACCTTGAGGACAAATAGGCTGTCGGAGTGTCTTGTGAGAGTTCGGATTTTACCCGTCGGTTCATGGCAGCAGGAGCAGCAGCAGCAGCAGCAGGTGCATGAGGAAGCATGCTGTCAATCTTGATAATGTTGGGAGTTAGGATTGTGGGGACTCTTGGGGATATAGACCCTCTCAATAAGGCGCTTTTAAGAGAGCCGTAAGTAGGGTTAAGAAGGGTCCCCTTTAAAGGGGTCTCCCGAATACTACCTGTTGTTGTCGCAAGCCAAACGGGATGTCAGGGAGTCCTAAACCCTAAAGTTTGGGCTCAGAACCTTCTGGGTCGAGGCTGTAGACTTGGAGGGGTCTGGGCTCAATGGCTCCTTGCTGAAGCGGATGGCTTTTGCGGGCCGGGTCCATTCTTGGTGCTGCAAAAGGCTTTTGAGGTTTGAGGTTTCGACTCACACACTCGCAAATGCAGGCATGGCAATACATGTCCGAGCCAGGTGTTTATGTATCCTAAACCCTTTTGCAACAGGCTTACCCTAAACCCTAAATCAGATGGTTTCAGCACTTACACTCGGACAGGCCTGAGGCTTCAGAGTTTGGGGGGTTTAGGGTTTACGGTTGCTTGGGCCCCCTCGAGGAAGATGATACCATCGACGGTGGCGAAATAGTCCTGCATGAGGCAATCCGTCTGTTAGGGCGCTCTCGAAGCGCGGACCCCTCAAAAACTCTCAAATTTCAGGCCCTATGCGTTGACGCCAGGGTTTTTACACCCCACACTGTCTGAGCAAGCCATGGCCCCGAAACTGTCACTTTGGGCATCACTCCGATTTCTCGCTCTGCCGCGTCGGGGGCTGAGGCTGGAACGGTTTAGGGTTTAGTTTAGGGTTTTTTCCCTCTCGCATTGTTGAGAAACTATGCTCACGGCGAGGTCTGCTTCGGAGAGAACTAGAAGTTTAGGGTTTAGGGTTTGAAAAAGAGTTATAGCGATGCAGAGAAGCTGAAGAGAGCTGGAAAGGAGCCCTACTTTCAGACGAAGAGCTGCCTGAACCTACCTTTTTGGGAGCTTTGCTCACGGAGGGTCTGCCCTTACATCAAGGATGTTACCACATAGGGTCCATATTGGTGTCGCCGTTTTGGAAGGAGGGTGGGTGTCCTTCCAAATGCGCCGGGCGGTCTCGTGCCCTCCGAGGTCGTAGGTGCGGAAGCGGATGTTCTTGATCATAAGCTCCTGGTTTCAGTTGGATTTATGGGCTTGCTGAGTTCCTGCATCTTAGGAATTGCCAAGGAGGATTCTTTCGGACTCAAAGTCATACAAGGGTTCCTGGATCAAACCTGGGGCTCTTGGCACCTGTGGCTTCAGTTTTCAAAGATGCAGGGAATAAAGACCTATTCGACAGACTCACAGACCAGGCCGTAGCAGGAAAGCGCCGACATGTCCCGCAGCAGAGCAAGTGCCGAAAATCAGATCACCGTAGAGAAACTATGGGTGAGGTTTATGCTCTCACACCCGGACTCGCCAGCTGAGGTTCACGCTCTTCGCGGTCAAGGTTCAGGATTGATTTGGGTAGTTCTCTAAATCAGGGTCCCTTTTTAGGTCCCCAAGATTGTACGGCACCCTTATAAGTTGGGCCCCCAAAAGGGACTCTAATTCAGAGAACTACCCATTTAAAGTTCGAAGGACCTCGGGAGCGACAGTTCTCACCGACAGCGGCTCCTCAGAATGCGGATGAAGAGTAGGCACGTGAGTAGCAATGCGGTCATCCTTCAGCATGTGGAGCCTCATGGACACTGGCGGCCTAGTGCTCAATGGAAACCGAGATCTACGGGTCGTGCTGATGATCGCAATCTTGATAAAACCAACAGTAGCAATCAGCATAATGCTAGTAATAGCCAGCATGATAAGAACAAGTATGCTGACATGAAAAAGAAAGAAGCAGGACGATAACCGTGGTAATCGGAAGGGTTGCCACAATTTTCAGGTTTAGGGTGCACAAGCACAGCCGTGTTGCAGAGTGGTCTTGCCAGCATTGTCAAGTCCAAGGAAAAGGATCTTTGCGTTCTTGTTGCCAAGGCCGAGGTATCCTTGCATGCCAGGAGGGCAAGAACTAACTTTCGTCTTGGAACTGATGCGGGGTTGATTTGACCAACGCAGCTGCGATGCCCAATACGTCGAAGAACCAGTTCACGATGAACATGCTGACCTTGGCATAGACATCACACACTACAAGCCCATCCCATCCTTCCGCTTTCAGCACGCGAAAACTCGGATCCCTGCGCAGTGGCCACCGACCCACCAATCTTCAGATATATAAAAGAGGGCCTGAATGATGACCAGAATATATCCCAAATTAATTAAAGCCCCTCTCCTAAACCCTTACAGCCCCCTGTTTGTGTCCCTTAAAGGAACCCTTAAAAGCACCCCTGTTCCAATTATTTACGGCCCCTAAATAGGCCCCGAAATCCCCAGTAAGAGGCACGCTGAGTTCGGCCGCCGAAGCGTCACAGCGAGGGCTTGCTTGATCCGACACTGCTGCAACGCCACACGGAGCAGAGCTGGTTGAGGGTTTGTAAGGTGGAGGGGTTTAGGATTTCGGGTTTAGGGTTTAGGGTTTAGGGTTTAGGGTTTAGGGTTTAGGGTTTAGGGTTTAGGGCTTAGGGACTAGGTTCAGAAGGGCTTCGGGCTCACAAGGGCTAGAGGTGAGGTTCGAAAGGGTGTTTGGTTGAAGACTTCTACACCGACCTCAGGAGCCCCTCAAGGCTCTGACGGAGCAAAAACCTGCATAGCTCCTTATATAACAGCTACAGCAGGGTTTGGGGTTTAGGGTTCAGGGTTTAGGGTTCATAGCTCCTGAACAGCCACAGCCAAAGCATGCAGCAAGTGAGCGGCACCGACTGCACAGCGGCACCCCATGCATGAAATGACCCTCGAAAAACCTGCCGACTCCTGGGAAGAACTGGCAACATGCAGTTCTACAACGACCCCGGAACCCGTCGCCGGTGTGAGAATGGGGCGCTTTGTCTCGGATGCAGCTGCATCTTATCTCGTCACGCAGAACCAAACGAGGATCATGGGGAGCTCTGAAGGTTGTACAAGTGACATGAAGTGGTCCACAGAGTCTATAAACGCTTTGAGGGCTTCTGGGGTTTCACATGTTCTGGAAACCTGTCTTGAGTATCGCACTCGCATGCGCCGAAGGAATTCAGCACTTGCCAGTTCCTGGCCGCGCAAATAAGCAAGCTTACCCTCTAGGCTCTGGACTCTTTAATTGTAGATCCTAAAACTCGCACGCTTTATTTGTAGTCCCTACAACTCACAGCACTCCCCGCCCAAAGATCCGTTCAAGACATCTTCAAACCTCCTGCAAGAGCACAAGAAGCCCCACTCCTCAACAGCGGCTGGCGTGCTGGTGGTCTCCTGACGTCGTCCTTCCACCCACAAGTTGTAGTAGGGGCGTATTCTGGTTGTACGAGGTGCTGGTCGGCGTCAGTACGACTTCTATATCTTTGAATTGGACCTAGGTAGGCTTCAGGGATAAGGGCAAGGGTGTAGGATGTGCGGCTTGGGTCCAGAATGTGAGCTTACAGTTTGGGATTCAACGCTTCAGTTCAGGAGCCATAGACATACTGTCAGGATCATTTAGGCCATGCTCACACCACGCTGACAGAGTAACAACCCCAAGCCACTTAATGTCGGTGGTGCTACGGGAACCGAAAGCTAGCAAGGCCCCTGCAGCGCCCCCAACCTCCCGCCCGTCGAGCGCACCCCTCGGCAGGATGAGACTGTCGCTTCTGTTCTGACAAAGCCGAAACTTGTTCGGATATCACATGTCCAACTATTGTTACTGCTTCGATTCCGATTCTGACTTTGCCATGCCGACGACGACGACGGCAACCATGACGATGCCGATGGCAATGACGATCCGATGACGACGACGACGACGACGACGACGACGACGACGACGCCCATGACGACGATGATAACTATACTACTATACTAGTGATGATGAGGATGATGATGATGATGACGGCCATGGTGATGGGATGACGATGATGATAATGATGATGATGATGAGGTACCGGTGATGCTGATGAAGACGATCATGGCGATGACGCCGGCGATGCCGATGACGATGCCGATGACGGCGACGACGACTTCGACGCCGATGACAACTATACTGGGTGATGGTGATGATGATGATGATGATGATGATGGTGCCGGTGAAGATGATGACGACGCTGATGATGACGATGACGACGACGATGACGACAATGAAAATTGAACCGATTATGATGGTGGTAGTGATGGTGCTGGTGATGATGACGACGATGATGATGACGATGGTGCCGGCGGCGGCGGTGGTTGGGGTGGGGTGGGGTGGGGGATATGGTGTTTCAAGTTTTGGCCGGTGGCGCTCTGAGCTCTGGTCATAAGTCGGCCGGGTGATACACTATGCTCCGTGTGAAGTGCACGCCAAAGAGATATGGATACAAGCGGTTCGAATCAACGATCGCACAGCAGATGCTAGATTCTGCTAGATGCATGCCAACGTAAGATGCTTGATGGCAGGCTGCATTTCACAACAAAACTTGTGAGTGCTCTGCAATTGGTGTCAAGCCCAGGACAGCAACATCGGCAATGCCCTTTACGTGAATGTTAGCACGACTGACACCTCGGCAAGCCCTCAGAAGAGGAGTCACTTCTGCTGTACGTGGGGCCTACATTAAGTTAGGCGAATGCTGTCCCACCAACATGTGTGGCGAACAAAGCTGGCCAGGACACTGCAACGAAGTTACCGAGTCATACGATGGACGGATCATAGATACATATATACGCATATGCATGGTGATGTGTTTGCATGTGTATGTATGTATGTATGTATGTATGTATGTATGTATGTATGCATGTATGCACGTATGTACGTATGCATGCATGCATGTATGTATGTAGTTTGTGTGTGCATGTAGGTAAGTAAGTCAGTAAGTAAGTACGTACGTACATGCGTAAGTACGTAACTGGGTAAGTCAGTAAGTAAGTAAGCAAGTACGTAAGTAAGCAAGCAAGCAAGCAAGTAAGTACGTAAGTAAGCAAGCAAGCAAGCAAGCAAGCAAGCAGGTAAGTACACAAGCAAGCAAGCAAGCAAGCAAGGAAGAAAGCAAGCAAACAAGCAAACGTGAGTGTATGTATGTACGTATGTATGCATGCCTGCATGCATGCATGTATGCATGTATGTATTTTTGTATGTATGTATTTATGTATGTATGTATGCATGTATGTATGTACATGTATGTACATGTATGTGCATGTGCATGTGTATGTGTATGTGTAAACAAGAAAACAAGCCAGCAAGCAAGCAAGCAAGCAAGCAAAGCAAGCAAAGCAAG